GAATGGTCCATATATATGATAATATTAGATCCTACTAAATAGGGTCTAAATTTGTCTAAAGCAAATATCACCGCCAATAGCTCATTTTCCATTGTTGCATAATTGAGTTGTGCCTCATTTAGCAATTTGCTAGCATAATAGATGACGTGCAATCTTTCTTCTTTATTTTGCTCCAAAACTGCTCCAACCGCATAGTTACTTGCATCGTACATCAATTCAAATGGTAATGACCAATCAGGCGAAGTTATAATTGGAGCAAAAATCAATTCCTTCTTCAACATTTCAAAAGCAACCAAACAATTATCATTAAATTGAAAAGAGGTATCTTTACATAATAAAATCACATAACGGTTTTGCTATTTTAGAAAAATCCTTAATAAAGGTTTATAAAAATCGACATGCCCTAGAGAACTCCATATCCTCTTGACATTGCTTGTAGATGGCAATTGCTCGATGACTTCAATTTTTGCTTTATCCACCTCAATTCCCTTAGAGGAAATCTTGTGTCCTAAAACAATTTCTTCTTTTACCATAAAATGACATTTCTTCCAATTTAGTACAAGATTTGTCTCCTCGCATCTCTGTAAAATCAAATCCAAATTATGAAGACAATGACCAAAAGATGAACCATACACAGAAAAATCATCCATAAATATCTCTATAATTTTTTCAATATAATCAGAAAATATAACCATCATGCAACATTGAAAAGTCGCAGGAGCATTGCATAAACCAAATGGCATCCTTCTAAAAACAAAAGTACTATAAGGACATGTGAATGTGGTCTTCTCTTGATCCTCCGGAGCTATAGCTATTTGGTTATACCCTGAAAAATCATCAAGAAAGCAGTAACATTTATATCCGGCTATTCGCTCCAATAATTGATCAAGAAATGGTAAAGAAAATGATCTTTTCTTGTTACCGCATTTAATTTGCGATAATCGATACACACTCTCCATCCAACCACAAGTCTTGATGGAATCATCTCATCATTTTTACCCACAATTGTAGTTATTCCACCTTTCTTTGGTACAACATGAATTGGACTGATCCAAACGCTATCGGAGATAGGAAAAATTATACCTGTGTCAAGCCACTTAAGAATTTCATTTCTTACCACCTCTTTCATGTTTGGATTGAGTTTTCTTTGCGTTTTCACCATCGATTTACAATTGTCCTCCAATAAATGCGGTGCATGCATATAGAAGGACTTATACCCTTAATGTCTGAAATTGTCCATCCAATTGCCTTCTTACGTCTTCTTAGAACTCTTAACAACTTTGTATACTGCTCATCATCAATGTCAGCACTAATGATTATTGGTAAAGTGCTATTTTCTCTCAGAAATTGATACCTTAGATGAATTGGAAGTGGTTTGAACTCTAATTTTGGAGGGTCAATTTCTGAAGGCAGTGGAAGCCCTTTTCCTTGACCAAGACTTTCATAGACATTACCCCTTTTATAGGGTGCTTGAAAATTCAAATATTTGGCCAATTCTTCAATCTCTTCATAATCACTTTCTTGCATACCTAAACTCATTAAACAATACTCAAGAGGATTGAAGTCAAAATTGATTTGGTTCAACTCTTGGGTTAGTTTATCTATTGTGCCAATAGAATAAGCATGATTGGTAAAAGAAGCATATTTTTTCATTTCATTCAAATTAAATTCTACCTCTTCTTCACTTACTTGAAATTTAAGGTTGCTATTTTTAACATCAATAATAGTACCTACAGTAGTTAGATATGGTCTACCTAGAATAATTGGCATAGATATATCTTCTTCCATATCTAAAACCACAAAATTCACTAGAATGATAAATTTTTGAACTTTTATCAATACATTCTCTAACACTCCCAATTGATATCTAATAGACCTATCCACTAGTTACAAAGTAATATTAGTGCGTTTAAACTCATGAAAACCTAATTGTCTAGCCACCGTTAAAGGAATTAATGATACACTAGCACTAAGATCACACAATGCTTTAAAAAAATCAATGTTACCTATGGTGCAAGGTATAGAAAAACTCCCCGGATCCTTCAATTTTGGTGGTAGCTTATTTTGTATGATAGTACTGCACTCCTCCGTTAATGCTATTGTTTCACAATCTTCCAACTTCCTCTTTCGAGTCATGATTTCCTTGAGAAATTTCGCATATGAAGAAATCTGCAAAATAACATCGGCAAAAGGAATGTTAATGTGCAATTGTTTGAAGATTTTAACAAAATTTTCAAAGTTTTTATCAAATTTATTCTACTTGAGTTTTTGGGGAAATGAAACCGCAAGAGGTATCGAAATGGTAGTGGAAAATGATAGTTGATTTTCTCTTGGTTTCTCCCGACTATTTTCCTCTACAATCGCCTCTTGGTTCCTTTTCTTTTCTATATGTTTTTCACTCTCATCCTTTTTCATCTTCACTCACTAGAGGATCTTCTAATTGTTTACCACTACGAAGAGTAATGGTTTTGACATATTCCTTAGGATTAACCTCCGTTTTGCTAAGTAATTCTCCTTAATTTCGATTGTTCAAGGAACTAGCAACTTGACCAATTTGGGCCTCTACATTCCTATACATTATAATAAGTTGGTCCAATCTTCCTTCTACTCGCTCAGATCTGTCCAAAGTAACCTTAGCGAGTTTTTCCATCGCAATCTCCCAACTTGGTTTAGTTTCAGCTTGTGATTGTCTTGGTTGGAATCCCGGCGAATTGGCTGGTCTTGGTTGATTGTCTTGATCTTTCTATCCAAAATTTGGATGATTTCTCCACCTCGAATTATAAGTGTTCCAGTAGGGGTTATTTAAGCATTACGATTATGATTGTTGACAAATTGTACCTGCTCAGAATCAACACATTCATTAGCATCATGTTCACCTCCACATACAGAGCAACAAGTTACATGTGCATTAGATGAATTTGGACCAACTCCACCTTGTCTACTTAGTAATTTCATCACATTATTTATTTGAGCACTCAACATATTGAGAGTGTCCATTTCTATCATACCTGCGTGACGTCTCGTATTACCTCTCTCATTGGCCCATTAGTAGTTATTTGCGGCCATTTCTTCTATCAAATTCTGAGATTCTTGGAGTGATTTACCCATTAAAGCTACACCTGTAGCTGCATCAATGATAGGGTATAATTTGTTAGTAATTTTATTATTAATTTCCCCTTTCATCCCTGATAAATATTGTGTTAATTGCACATATCTACTTATATTTGGTTTGTGGCCTTTATTTCAGGGATAGAACAGAAAACTACCAAACATGAGGGATTGTCTGGAGAAAATTGAGTCTTCAAGCGAGTCACAGGCCAGGGCCACAGTGCTGAAAAGAACTGGACTCCCATCCCTTTATTCTTGTTGACCAAGAGGTTTACAACCGGAGACTTAGAGAACTTGAAGGCTTGGGCCTTTGACTTCAGTGGGGACCACGGAGGAAAGGAAAAGGGCTTTGGTCCTTTGGTTCTAAAAGGAAACAAAAAAAAGCAACGTACAAAGCCTAAGGGAACTAAGAAGAAATGGGGCAGCTTTTGGCCAATTGGTGGGGACCACTGGATCTCTTTCCTTTGGCTTTAAATAGATAGCTAACGTACAGAAGACGGACGGCCAGCTTTTAGTTCTTTTGCTTTAGTTCAGTTTTTAGTTTTCCTTTCTTTTCCTAGGACTGGCCTCTGACACACGCCAGGTGTTTGACAATATTTCTCAACGGGGAAAACATCCTTCATTCCTTACTTTTTAGTACAAAACAATGCCTTCGCAATTTATTAACTCGTGTGATGATTTAATTATGCGGCGTGGCTAAGTCTTCCATCTAGTCAAGGGTCAACTCGACGGCGCAGTCCCGAAAATCTGTGAGATCTAATTAGTTTTCACGCGTTCCTTAATTTATTCATATTTGCACATTGCCTGCTTGTATTTTCATGGGATTATTTTATTAATTGGATGTCAAGGGCCCGATGTTCAATGTGATTTATTAATCTCGTGCCAATTTAGTCAATTAAATCCGTAATTGTTTGATTGATTAATATTAGTGGCAACTGGTGTGTTTACACATTAGGGGAACGTGCAATCTAATTTAAATAACCCTCGTAGCGTGTTATTGGTTAGGGCTAGGTTTTTCTAATATTAATGCAATTGGGAAATTAATTCCTATGGTCGTACCTAGGAGTATTTGCTGATTAGGGGTAATCAACGGTCGTACCTTGGTTATCAATAATTTAAGGAAAAATTGGTCATCAGACTATAACTAGCCTATTAATAAATTAAGTGAACCTTTCCTGCATCAATGATCGGATAAATGGACTGTGCCTGAGTAGTTGCATCCTTGGCTAGAATTTATTTATTCCTGATTAAATTCCTGCTATATTTGTGCTAGTGATTTATTCATTTTTAATTAAATTGTCTAATTATTTTTAGTTTCATTCCGGTAAAATCCCCCCCCTTATCAATTGGACTTTAAAAAGAGACAAATATCTCCAGTCCCTGAGGAGACGACCCTACTTGCCACTGTCTACTATTCAGTGATTTTTGTCAATTAATTAATACTGGTATATCGGATTAAGCAAACTCTTCGGGAACAGGGTGAATCAAGTAACCCATTGCACACCTAGAGTCCCTGCTCCAGTACCTAGGATTAATTATTGACTGCTTTTAGTGGTAGTTAGGTTCTATATTTATTACTATTATTGCACAGGCTGACGACCTGTCAATTTTTGGCGCCGTTGCCGGGGACTGGCGTTATTATTTGTTTTTTTTTAAAATTCAATTTTGTCCTAATTTTCTGGTTTTTTTTCTAGTGTATGCCTCGATCTTGTCGCACAGGTGATTTGGTTTTTGATCCTGAGGTAGAGAAGACCGCGCGTAGAACGAGAAAGGAAACCAGACAGCTCAGAGAAGAGCACTCTAGTGCTACATCTCAAAGACCCGAGTCAGAAGTTGAACCAACAGATTCGTTTGGTAACACTTCGAGTGACTCTGACCAGGAGGAGTTCACCATGGCTAATGCACAAACATTAAGGGAGTTGGCTGCTCCTGATTTAACTCAGCAACCTTTGTGCATTACTTTCCCCGCTTTAAATGACAACATTCCATTTGAACTAAAATCTGGTCTGATTCAGCTTTTACCCTCTTTTCATGGTTTACCAGGTGAAGAGCCGTATAAGCATCTACAGGAGTTTGATGTCGTTTGCAACAGTATGAAACCCCCGGAAATCACAGAAGAGCAGATAAAAATGAGGGCATTCCCCTTCTCCTTGAAAGATTCTGCGAAGGACTGGTTGTACTACCTGTCACCAGGTAGCATCACCACGTGGGGCCAATTGAAGAAAAAATTTCTGGATAAATATTTTCCTGCGTCCAGGGCTGCGAGTCTAAGGAAAGAAATTTGTGGGATCAAGCAGCATCCCGGGGAGTCACTTTACGAGTATTGGGAACGGTATAAGAGCTTGTTGCGCAGGTGCCCCCATCACCAAATAAGTGAGCAGTTGATCATACAATATTTCTATGAGGGGCTCATTTTTAGAGACAGGAGCATCATTGATGCTGCAAGTGGAGGGGCACTGGTGAACAAAACCCCTCAGGAAGCACGGGAGTTAATAGAGGGGATGGCAGAGAATTCACAGCAATTCAGTACGAGAGAGGATGTCCCAATACGTAGGGTGAATGAGATAGAGACACCCTCTGTGCAGCAGCAGCTAAATGAGTTGACTGCGTTCGTTAGGCAACAGGCTGTGAGAAATGCATCACAAGCCAGGGTATGCGGGATTTGCACTGGTATAGGTCACTCTGCAGACATGTGCCCAATGATTCAGGAAGAAACTGAGGAACAGGTGAACATGGCTGACCACGCGCCCGCGGCAAGGAAGCAGTACGACCCTTACTCAAGCACCTACAACCCCGGGTGGAGAGATCATCCCAACCTCAGTTATGGTGGGAATAGGCAATCCAACTTCACGCCGAACAGGCAGTCTAACTTTGTGCCGAATAAGCCACCAGGGTACCAGCAGCAATACCAACCCCGACCACCTCCGCCCCCTCAATCTGGTTCATCTACGGATGAGATGCTGAAACAAATGATGACAACCATGGCACAGAATCAGCAAAGGACGGAGGCAGCTATTATGCAAAATCAGCAGAAGACGGACTCCGAGATGCAGGACATAAGGAATCAGATAGGTCAACTGGCCACCAGAATAAACCGTTGGGAGTCCCAGAACCAAGGGAAGCTGCCATCTCAACCGGAGTTGAATCCGAAGAACGTGAGCGCAATGACCCTAAGGAGTGGGAAAGAAATTCAGGGGCCTGAACCTGTGATTCCTAAGGACAAGGATGAAGAGAAAATCGAAAATGAGCTCGAAAGGGAGGACAGCAATGGTGCAGATCCAAAGGTACTTCCTGACCCTATAATTACAGTTAAAACTAACCCGCCTCCTTTTCCTAGCAGGTTGGAAAAATCAAAGAAGCAGGATAAGGAAAAGGAGATTTTGGAGGTTTTTCGCAAGGTTGAGATAAATATCCCCCTCTTAGACGCCATCAAACAAGTACCAAAATATGCCAAGTTCCTAAGGGACTTGTGTGTCAACCGAAGGCGATTGAGGGGAGATGAACGGGTCATTGTTGGGGAGAATGTGTCAGCGGTCCTGCAGAGAAAGCTCCCACCAAAGTGCGGGGACCCAGGTATGTTTACTATTCCTTGTAAGATAGGTAATACTGTGATCAGAAGGGCCATGTTGGATCTGGGAGCATCAATAAATGTCATGTCTAAGTCTATCTATGCTTCTCTAAAATTAGGGCCATTAAAAGAAACTGGAATAATCATTCAATTAGCTGACCGAACTAATGCATATCCTGATGGGTTGGTTGAAGATGTGTTGGTAAAAGTTAATGATTTGGTGTTTCCAGCTGATTTTTATGTGCTTGATATGGATGATGATTACTCCCCTGATCCCTCACCTCTGTTATTGGGTAGACCTTTTATGAGCACAGCACAGACGAAAATTGATGTTAATAAGGGTATTCTGTCCATGGAGTTTGATGGGGAAATTGTGCATTTTAATATTTTTGATACTATGAAGTACCCCTCGAACTCCAACTTTAGTTCAGTTTTTTCTGTGAGTGCTATTGACCCTGTAGTGCAGGAAGTGTTTGAAACTGATGGCAGGGATGAGCTGGAGGTGGCTTTAACCAAGCACCTCGAGTTGGAGACAACTCATCAGGTGGAGTGGAGTGAGGATTTAAAATGCACAATAGGTGCATTACACTCGTTGCAGACCACCACGAAAAGGTATGAAGTTTTACCTATTTTTACTCCCGATCCTCACCAGAGGGTATTGCCATCTGTGGTGCAGGCACCTGTACTGGAGTTGAAACCTCTACCAGAGCACCTGAAATATGCATATCTAGGTGATAATGAGACGCTCCCGGTGATTATCTCATCGGCACTGTCAAAAATCCAGGAGGAGAAATTGATCCGGGTCCTTCGGGAGCATAAAGAGGCGATAGGCTGGACAATCGCAGACATTAGGGGGATCAGCCCGACCATCTGTATGCACCGGATTAGGTTAGAAGACGATGCCAAACCTGTTAGGCAGGCTCAAAGAAGGCTCAATCCCCTCATGATGGAAGTTGTAAAGAAAGAGATTCTAAAATTGCTAGATGTGGGGATCATCTTTGCAATATCTGATAGCCCTTGGGTGAGTCCGGTCCAGGTAGTCCCAAAGAAGGCAGGAGTAACGGTGGAGGCCAACCAAACGGGTGAACTTGTGCCAGTGCGTAAGCCCACTGGATGGAGGCAATGTATAGACTACCGTAGGCTAAACGCTGTCACCAAAAAGGACCATTTCCCTCTCCCTTTCATTGACCAAATGGTTGAACGTTTAGCTGGTAGAGCTTATTATTGCTTTTTGGATGGATTTTCAGGATACTTTCAGATAGCAATAGCTCCGGAGGATCAAGAGAAGACAACCTTCACGTGCCCGTTCGGGACCTTTGCCTACAGACGAATGCCATTTGGGTTATGCAATGCACCTGCGACGTTCCAAAGATGTATGGTAAGCATTTTTTCTGAGTATGTTGAGAAAATTATTGAAGTTTTCATGGATGATTTCAGTGTGTATGGTGATAGCTTTGATACGTGTTTAGATAACCTGAAATTGATTCTGATAAGGTGTATAGAGACTAATCTTGTGCTTAATTGGGAAAAATGTCATTTTATGGTTGAGCACGGGATAGTCCTGGGTCATATTGTATCGTCTAAGGGCATAGAAGTTGACAAGGCTAAAATAGACATTATTTCTGCATTACCTTACCCCGCGAGTGTGCGGGAGGTACGCTCTTTTCTTGGACATGCAGGTTTCTATCGAAGGTTCATCAAGGATTTTTCAAAAATTGGGGCCCCGCTGTTCCAACTTCTACAAAAGGATGTGACCTTCGAATTCGACGATAAGTGTGAGGGAGCCTTCAACAAATTAAAAGAATTGTTGACTTCACCCCCAATCATCCAACCCCCCGATTGGAATTTGCCATTTGAGATCATGTGCGATGCCAGTGATCATGCTGTTGGGGCTGTACTGGGGCAAAGAGTAGGAAAGGCGGCTCATGTCATCTATTACGCATCCCGAGCCTTGAATGGAGCCCAGTTGAATTATTCCACCACTGAGAAGGAGCTTCTTGCAGTTATTTTTGCTTTGGAAAAATTTAGGTCATACTTGTTAGGTGCTAAAGTAATTGTATTTTCTGATCATGCAGCATTGAGGTACCTGATGACCAAGAAAGATGCAAAACCGAGGCTCATACGGTGGATACTACTCCTACAGGAATTTGACTTGGAGATAAGGGATAAAAAAGGCTCAGAAAATTTAGTAGCGGACCATTTGAGTCGCATACTAGTTGAAGAGGATAGCGAGCCATTGAAGGATGCATTCCCCGAAGAACACTTATTTTCCTTAAATTCTCAGTTGCCTTGGTATGCTGATTTAGTCAATTATTTGGTAACTGGGAATTTTCCTGCAGGTTGGCCGAAATCGAAGAGGGATAAATTGAAGAGCGATACCAAGTATTTTATCTGGGATGACCCGTACCTATGGAAGAGGTGTGCAGATCAAGTGATGCGGAGATGTGTAAGTGAAGTGGAATTTCAATCAATTTTAGCTTTTTGTCATACTTTTGCCTGTGGAGGTCATTTTGGACCCAAGAGAACTGCTCATAAAGTTTTAGAAAGTGGATTTTATTGGCCTTCATTGTTTAAGGATGCCTATGTGTTTTGTAAGTCATGTGATCGCTGTCAAAGGGTAGGTAATATAGCCCGTAGAGATCATATGCCCCAAGTCCCGATGATTTTTGTAGAAATTTTTGATGTATGGGGTATAGATTTCATGGGACCTTTTCCTACTTCATATGGTTTTCTGTATATTTTGCTGGCAGTTGATTATGTGTCTAAATGGGTGGAGGCTAAGGCCACTCGAACTAATGACTCGAAAGTGGTTGCAGATTTTATCAGATCTAATATTTTTGTGCGATTTGGAATGCCAAGAGCTATTGTCAGTGATAGGGGAACGCACTTTTGCAACAAAACCATAGCTGCGTTATTTCGCAAGTATGGTGTACTCCACAGAGTCTCAACGTCATACCACCCTCAGACCAATGGTCAAGCGGAGGTGTCAAATCGGGAGATAAAGTCCATCCTGGAGAAAATGGTGCGTCCCGATAGAAAAGATTGGAGTCAACGGTTGGAAGATGCACTCTGGGCCTATCGGACGGCATACAAGACACCTATAGGGATGTCTCCCTATAGGTTAGTATTCGGTAAGCCGTGTCATCTTCCAGTAGAGTTCGAGCATAAAGCATTTTGGGCGGTTAAGCAATGCAATATGGATATTGAGGAGGGCGGAATCCAAAGGAAGTTACAATTACAGGAGTTGGAGGAGATCCGCAATGAAGCTTATGAGAATGCGGTAATTTATAAGGAGAAAAATAAAATTTTTCATGACCAACAGATCTCAAGGAAGACATTCGAGTGTGGGCAAAAAGTTCTGCTGTACCACTCCAAATTGCAGTTATTCCCAGGTAAATTACGTTCTCGTTGGATTGGCCCTTTTGTTGTGACTAATGTCTTCCATTATGGTGCAGTCGAGATCCAAAGTTTGAAAGCTGAGAAGAAATTTGTAGTGAATGGTCATCGTCTCAAACCGTATTATGAAGGGGTTCCAACTGAACGGGTGGAGGTGATGCACTTGGAGGATCCTACTTGCTTAGTTTAAGCAAATCTTTGGACGATGTCTAGCCAAAGACATTAAAGAAAGGCGCTCATTGGGAGGCAACCCAATTGTTTCTTTCAATTGCTTATTGGTTTCGTGTCATAGTTTAAATCTGTTTTCCCTTTAATTGGACTGATTTTGGAGTGTTGATTTTCGTTTTTGCTGATTTATAGGTGCCCTTCAGTCATGACGTGCCCGCGTGGTGATGTGCAGGATGCTCACGATCAGGAAATTCTGAAACTTCTGGGAGCTCTCCTGCCCTCATGACGTGCCCGCGTGGTGATGTGCAGGATGCTCACGATCAGGAATTTCTGAACTTCTGGGAGCTCTCCTGGCCTCATGACGTGCCCGCGTCACGTTCGCGGGAAAGGTCAGGATTCAAATAAAGAGAAAGAAATAAAATGAAAAAAATGTAGAAAAATTGTTATTATTTCATCTATTCGAATAATAAAAAAAAAATTAAAAATTAAAAATTAAAAAAAATAATAATAATAAAAAAAATAAAATAAAAAAATAAAATAAAATAAAATAAAATAAAATAAAACAAGAAGAAGAAAAATCTTTCCCCTAAAGCCGTAGCAATTTCTTTTCCAAAATAAAAAAAAAGAGAGAAGAAAAAAAAATCCTTTTCTTTTTTCTTTCTTTTCTTTCTTTCTTTCTTTCTTCTTTCTTTCTTTCTTTCCTTTTTCTTTCCTTTCTTTCTTCTCCTCTGTTTTGCTCTGTCCGCCGCCCGTACTCACTTGCCGCCCGCATCGAGCTTGCCGACCCCACCACCAGATCTGCTCACGTCGCGCGAGACCCCATCGCCGCACGCCAGACCGAGGCTCTCCTTCGCACGCCGCCGCCCAAACTGCCGCTGCTCGCCGCCGCCGCCGCTGCTGTAGTCCATCGTGCAACCGCTCCAGCGCCGCGAGCCACATCCGCCAGCCCATCTCCCTAGCGCGCGCCGCGTCTTCCTCCCAAGCCCGAGCGCCGCGTCTTCCTCCCAAGCCCGCACGCAGCCTCCACAGGAAGAAGCCCATCCTCGCGCGCCGTTGCCGCTGCGCACGCCGACGCGAACGCCGCCCGTACCCACTGCCATCTCCAACTCCACCGCGCGCCACCTTCTGCCTCGACCAGACCGCGCGCCGCCTCTCTGCTCAGTTCACTTTCGGCTCCAGCTCGTCTTCACAGTCGCCACACGCCGCCTGCTGCTGCCTCCTGTCGTTTGGTCATCGTCCAAGGTGGAGGTATTTGAACTTTATTCCCCAATTTCTAATATTGATTGGTGCTGTTTCGGATTTTCCACAATTGGTATTGGTGACGGTTGGAGTTTATTTTCTCAATTGTTGATTTCCGCCAGTGGTACTGGTTGGATTATTCTTGCTTGGCATTGCTATTTTAATTTTGGAATTGGGTGAACTTGTGCAATTGGTTGGCCAACTGGAGCCATTTGTTGAAATTTTTGGGGTTGGGTGCAATTGTGCATTTCATTGGCCATCTGGAGCCACCTGTTGGGAATCTGAGGGGGCTACAATACTGCATTGGTTTGACTGTCTGAGTAGCTGTGTTTATTGCGTTGTTACTGTCCCCTTGCTGCACTGCTTTTGCTGAATATGAGTTAGCACTTTTCTTGGCCAACTGGAGCCGTTTATTGAGATTTTGAATGTGTTGCAATGCTCTGATTATTTGTTCGATTTGGAGATGACATTTTGACCATCATATTGCTTGGGGATATTGCTTGAATTGCTGGATAACTCGCTAGGGTTTCTCTTGAGATTTTAGTTGAGATATTTCTGAATTGCTTGTTGATTACTTGCTGGAACTCTTTTGTTTGCTATTGGCTGGGTTACTACTGGGAGATTTTTGCTTTGTCAATTGCTGGTTTCTATACTTGTTGGATTTTCTGTTGCCTTGAACTTACTTTGGGGGAAATGGTGAGACCGAAATCCTCCTCTAGGTCTAGGACCTCTCAGTCTCAACCCCCTCCACAAGCCTCTATTCCTGTCAACTCACCTACCAACCTACCTCCTCTTCTAGTGTTCGAACCCGTTTGGGTAGGGATAGGGGTGCTCAGGTAGATGCACCTGTTCACTTTGGGGGGCACTTAACATTTACCAGACCCGCCGATCGGCAGAGATACGCTAAGGTCTGCGAGAGGCGTATAATATCCTGTAAGTCTTGTCATAGACTCTCTCTAACTGCCCTGGGTATACGGGAGGAGGTTGAGCAAATGTTCACAGCCATTGGGTGGCGCCCATATTTCCTTATTTCTTGTCCCGCTTTTGTTGAGCTGATCCGGGAGTTTTACTCCACCTTTGAGTTCGAATTACCTACGAGATACACGGGTGAAACACCGAATGTCATTCATTTCCGGCTCATGGGTCGAGAATTCAATTTCTCCATTACTCAATTCAATCTAGCATTTGGGTTTATCACTAGAGAGTATGCTGAGACTAGGGAGTATGCGGAGAGTGCCTGTGACTACGTAGAGCCTTTCCTCTCCCACTACCATGATGTATGGGAGGACATGTCCGTCGATAGGCAACGCTACGATCCTTCCCGGTCCAGGAGCTCCTTTCTTAAGGACCCTAGCGCCCGCTATGTTCAGCGATTCTTAGCTTATAGCTACTCGGGGCGCAAGGACAGCTCCGGTATACTCTCTCGGCCCGAATTCTTCTTTCTCTGGAGTATGAAGAACAATATCAAGGTGAACTTGGGATGTTGGTTGGCCGCACAGTTCAAGACGGTCTTGACCAAGAAGAACAAACCACTGATCCTTGGGTCCTACATCACTCACTTGGCGACCCAGTTGGGAGTTCTTAACCTGGATGACCACGACCTCCATTTGGCATTTGAGATGGAGCACTTGGACGTAGTTTGCTTAGAGAAAATGGGGGTCGTCGAGCGTCTGCCAGATGGTTTTCACCAGTTTACCCGTCCGGGACCACCTCGAGCCCCGGGTGCACACCATTCGGCCCGGGCAGGGCCATCTTCATTCCCTGGGTCGGCCGCGGACACTGCTGGGCCGTCTACCTCTACTTCTGCGCCACCTCCACCACCTGGGACCGATGATTGGCAGCATCTCAGGGAGCAGGTTCAGGATTTGCAGGCCCGGATGACCAACGTCGACGCCAATGTCGCCGGCATAGCACAGAATTTGGCACAGTTCCTGATGCATACAGGCTTTGCACCTCCATTCCCACCTCGCCCTCCGCTATGACCCGGTTTCAGGGAAGTTTGGTCCTTTTCCCTCTCACTTTTGTTTTATATTTGTCACATTGAGGACAATGTGTCCTATAGGTGTGGGGGGGTGCTAGTGTTTTCCGTTTTTAGTAGTTTTTAGTTCTTAGTAATTTTTAGTTTTCAGTTTTAGTTCTTAGTTTTTAGTAGTTTTAGTAGTTTTTAGTTTTTAATAGTTTCTAGTTTTATTACTTTTTAGTTTTAATTCTAGTTGCTTATTTTCTTTCTTTGTGACTACTAATTCTAGTTTTAATTCTTAGTTTTAATCCCATGTAATTTAAAAAAAAAAAAAAGAAAAAAGGAGAGAAAAATTTTGGTTTGTTAACTCTAGTTCTACTTTTGCCAAGTTCTTTTTTTTAAAATATAATGTATCGGGTTAATGTGGTTGGATTCGAGATGTCTCCTTGGTGAATATCGGACTGCTTGATTCTTGTGAATTCTTTGTTAACTTTTCTAGGCATTGGGAATGACTGTTGGCATTTTAATGAGAACTGGTCCAATATTGACTCCAGTTCTCTATGTTTGGCAATAATGAGGCGAGCTGCTCCTATTTCTGGTTCTTAGTGTTGTTATTATGTGTTTTTGGCTTTGCTTGGCTGTGAATAATCTGGACTGTACTCCGCTATGAGCTACTACTGAGTAACCGGGGTTCGGCACCTAAAAGTGTCGTTTCTCGCGTCAAAAGGTGGTACTTTATATGAGTACGTGGTTGTATAGCGGTAGGAGCTGAGTAACCGGGCTCCTTCATCTAAAAATGTTGGAGTTCGCGTCAAAAGGCTCCGGTGGCTAGAGACTAAGTCTTCTTGGGGTCAAATATTATTATGCTCCTGAAAAAAAAAAGAAAAAAAAAAGAGAGGAAAAAAAAGAAGAGAAAAAAAAAAAAGAGAATAACTAATAGGGAAGCTTGCTGGGTTATGGACTTAATATGGGGACTTGTGTGAATATTTGGACCATTAGCTGATAAATGCTGAGTGTCATTCCTTTTCCTTAGTTTAGTTAATTCGGAAATTGAAGGAGTTTGTGGTTTAGAGACTAACTGGGGGGATGCTTCTCGGATTTTGACCATTAATGCCCGATATATGATCTTCTCTTGAATCTCTTGGCAAGGTGGTAGATAAGAGTGATGACCACTATCAACTTTCGGGGTCTGCCCACTTTTCTTATGCTTGAGGGCAAGCATGGTTTAGGTGTGGGGGGAATTGATAGGGTATAATTTGTTAGTAATTTTATTATTAATTTCCCCTTTCATCCCTGATAAATATTGTGTTAATTGCACATATCTACTTATATTTGGTTTGTGGCCTTTATTTCAGGGATAGAACAGAAAACTACCAAACATGAGGGATTGTCTGGAGAAAATTGAGTCTTCAAGCGAGTCACAGGCCAGGGCCACAGTGCTGAAAAGAACTGGACTCCCATCCCTTTATTCTTGTTGACCAAGAGGTTTACAACCGGAGACTTAGAGAACTTGAAGGCTTGGGCCTTTGACTTCAGTGGGGACCACGGAGGAAAGGAAAAGGGCTTTGGTCCTTTGGTTCTAAAAGGAAACAAAAAAAAGCAACGTACAAAGCCTAAGGGAACTAAGAAGAAATGGGGCAGCTTTTGGCCAATTGGTGGGGACCACTGGATCTCTTTCCTTTGGCTTTAAATAGATAGCTAACGTACAGAAGACGGACGGCCAGCTTTTAGTTCTTTTGCTTTAGTTCAGTTTTTAGTTTTCCTTTCTTTTCCTAGGACTGGCCTCTGACACACGCCAGGTGTTTGACAATATTCCTCAACGG